AAAAAGTTATTTATATATTATTTTTATTTAATTATTTATGTTATTTTATTTAAATATAATTTTTTATTTTAAATATAATTTTTCATATTTTATTTTTTTTTTAAATTAATAATCTTCTTGTATGAATTTACATATTATTAAATTTAATTTATTGATTAATTTTTTTTTATCCTTTTTATTTAAAACTTCATGTTGTTTAATTTTTTCTCTTATTTTATTAGCTAAATTAAAATCTTTTACTCGATTAATTAAAATAAGAATAAATGTTAATCTAGCAGGGTGTGAAATACTTAAATTTAGCGTTATATATTGATCTAAAATCTGATTGGCTAAAAATATATAATTTACATATATAATAATAAAGCAAGATATAACAGCATCATATTCCTTAAATTAAAAAGAAAATCTAATATAAAAATTACATTGTGAAACAAACAATTACAAATTGTATCAAAAAAAAAATCGTCTAAAAAAAAGAACTTCAAACCATAAGATAGTAAATCATATCATAAAGCATGAATACAAAACCAAATATTATATCACAAGATACAAATCAAATACAAATTGTCAACTCCATATATAGAACAACATGAAGAATCTTCTGTAACTAACTCATTCGACATTGTTGATAGTGATATAACCAAACTAGTTAAAAAATACCGTAAGTCCTATATATAAGTAACAAGTTTAACGAATAATTAATTAAAACTTATTGAAAATATCTTAGTTACATTCGAAGATAATGGCCTAGAAGAATTCAATAATATATACACAGCACAAACAGAAAGTATTGAGCATTACAAGAATAATGAAAATAGTTAGTATCAAATACAATACAAATAGATATCACCAAAGTAGACCAAAACCTCACCTTTGAGTTCATTGCATATTTGTTGTCTAAACTACAAACCTTTAACTAAAAAAAATTCTAAGCAATAATAAATCACCCCAATCCTTACAAGACTTATTATAGCCATTTTCAAAAAGCTATGGAAAGATGCATATCACCATATTATAGAAAATTTATGAATTTCCAGAGTTTTTAGGATCCATGATATTTTCAGGATTTTTAGAGTTTTTAGGTGCCATAATATTTTCTAGATTTTCAGAGTTTTTAGGACCCATGATACTTCCTGGGTTTCCAAAGTTTTCTGACCCACTCTAATTAGATCATTTAGAATCTCGATTCCCATATGGATATATGAAATTATATTCTGGTCACTATATCAAGATCACAGAATATAAATCAGTTATACTATAAGTACTATGTGTATAAACAGAAATTTCATTTCCGCTTATAACCAACTACCCAGGATATAACTATTACTTGTTCTACATCTTTCTAAAAACACCTCTAGCAAATATACAAATCAGAATCAGGCAAATTTAAGAATCCGAAACCTGTTTTTTTCTGGCGGCATACAAACATTGCATGAAACTAACAAATTTGCGTTGATAGGTTCACCTATATTCATTTCAGAAGATATTCCTGATAGTGTTCGTTTTAATATATGGGATGAAGTAGAATGCTATTTTAATGAATATAGAGCTAGAAATAGATTTGCTGTTACTAAATACCAAATAGAATGAAACAGCTTAGATCAAGTTCACAAAAGAACCTTCATTTGTGAATTCAGCAGGAAATACAAATCTAAAAAGACAATTGAAGCTGCTTTAAATGGTACACAAAGAAATACAAAAACAAAAAAAAAAAATTGTCAGTAACATATCAACTTATCCATTCTGGAACGAGCAACACAAATTTCAATCACGACATATGTTAATAAGTATAACCATCCCCTTCTTTCTGAAACCTAAAATTTTGGAGTAAAATACCGAACGCTATCTAAAGAAGCACTTGACGAAATAAATATAATGACAAAGCATGGTAATTTGTTACTAGCTGTGCAAAAAAGTCTTTTAAAGGTTCATTTCCCTGATCTGAATTTTCAAGACCAAGATTTAGCAAACGTGATTTAAAAAGCAAAAA